ATATATATATATATATATAATACTGTTAGATTAGAGTTTTTAGTTGAATAACTGATATAATTTTGTCGTTCAATTTTTTTCAACAGAAAAAAGGAAAAAAAAATGTTGATTTTCTTCCAAAACTTTCCTTCCAAATGTGGAAGGAAAGGGAAGGAAATTAAATGAAATAATTTATAATACTTAAAGATATTTATAAATTACTAGAAGAGTACTCGTGCAATGCAGCGAGATACATATTGATTTTTATTTTATTGTTTATCTCAATCGATGTTATAATATGGTCTTATGTGATTTTGAAAAAACGATGATGTTTTTATTTTTTATTAAAATATAAATTTGAAGATATCATAAAAATTTGACAAAAATATTCGATGTTAATATCAAAGTAATTATTTAAAATTCCTATTTTTTGTGTAATTTTTTAATTCAATTTATTATTATAATTCAATTTAGGTTCAATAATGAAGTAATTTATATTTGGTTTAATAATATAATTTTTTTTATGAAGATAATAATTGATTATTTTGTTAAAACTCAATAATTATCCTAATTTTATTTTAGATTTTTATATTTTAAAATGAGATGTTTATCCTCTATTTGATTATGTTTATCCGGAGTTAGTTACGCGAATTCAAACATGAAGCTTTAATAAGTTGTATTTATGCATAATTTACTTGTAATCTTGAATTTCAAGTAATATGCATCAATATTTCATGCATTAAAAATGGTTTTTAAGAGTTTTTGTCAAATGCTTTATAATATAGTATAGATATATCCATCCAATTGCAATCCGTCATAAAATAAATAGAGGTATATTTTTTAAAAGTGATATTCTTTATTTTCTTTCTATCCTGCTCGATACCAAGAAAAAATCTATTGTCTTTACTCACCCTCGATCAAAGACACAAATACAAAATTGTCTTTTTTTCTCAAACTTGAGAACACAACTTATGATCACCCTAAATTCAAATCTTAACACTGCTTATTAGTAGGGATGTACAAAAAATCGTCAACTGTGAAACCCGCTCAACTCAACATGTTAACAACCCAACTAAACCCAACATGTCAAACCGCAAATTCGTCACTTAAGATGGTTGAAATTGTGTTAGGCCTAGCTCAATCCACCAACCCGCCGCTTATATATAATTTTTATAATATATATATATATATACACTATATTATAAAGCATTTGACAAAAAACTCTTAAAAACCACTTTTTATGCGTAAAGTACTGTTTATCAATGCATATTACTTAAAACTCAAGATTACAAGTAGATTGTGCGTAAGTACAACTTATTAAAGCTCCATATCTGAATTCATGTAACTAACTGCAGATAAATATAATCAAATACATGATAAACATCTCATTTTAAATATAAAAAATCTAAAATATAATTAGGATAATAATTGAGTTCTAACAGAATACTTAAT